TCCCCCCCCCCCACCTGAAACGGCCTATGTTCTCCAAATACACAATTTAATACAACATATTTTGCTTGTTTTGATAACAATATAATGTTTGACATTTTTTTGAAGTAGTAAAATATAGCATGACCTTAATAAATTTTCAAAATTGAAAGTTTTTGAATCACCCTGTAGCGATGTCAGATAAATTAACTTGATCTATAGCTTTTGTTTTAATGAACGTAGAGCACACTTTAGAGTCTTGTTTTCATTTTTGGCTCTTGAATTACACAGCAATGGGTGGGGCACCTTAACCTTCAACTTCGTAGGATCAGCCAGGACATATAGATAGTTTAGATAGATAGATAGATAGATAAATAGATAGATAGATAAATAGATAGATAGATAGATAGATAGATGGATATATAGATAGATAAATAGATAGATAGATAGATAAATTGATAGATAAATAGATAGATAGATAAATAGCTAGATTATCCAATGTTTAGACTGCTTGCCTTTTTGTCCAAGTTTGACCACTGTGTACAATATGCTATCTGATCTTAAAATGCTTTTATTATTCACTAAACCCACTGTGCAGGATGTTGATAATACACAGAAAGAGAGAGAGTAAAAGTACAAATTTTGTTAACTATGTTCTTTCAATGTTGATTATTTAGAGGATAATACAAAAAATGTTAAGATTTTAGAAACATCAGAGGCAGGGGGCTATGGGGTGGGGGCCTGAAGCCTTGGGCCCCAACAGGTGCTGAACTTCTACCCCCCCCCACCCCGTTCCAACATCTCCTAGACAGAAATATAATGCAAGCCTCCCCCACCCTGGACAAATTCCTGAGATAAGATGTAGAAATAAAAATATGTTTGCAAACATAATAGACTTAACCCTATCCCTGCTTGGGTACTTGAAAACTAGGAGGGGGGGGGGTCAATTTGACCCTCCTCTAAATCCTAGGAGGGGGTGGGGTCAATTTGACCCTCCTCTAAATCCTAGGAGGGGGGGGGGGGGTCAATTTGACCCTCCTCTAAATCCTAGGAGGGTAGCTTCCGTGTTCCCTATAGCTTGAAACAAAGGATTGAAATAATGTTTGGAAATCAAGTTTGAAATATTGCCAAGGAAAACTGTTGATCTGTCGAGATAAAGCATTGTTTAACTCCTATCCAAGTATCTTTATATAGTATTCTCTAGGGGGGAGGTAGGACAGATTTTATTGATAGGACAGATAGGATATAAAAACAGACAGAAAGATAGGACATATAGTACAGATAGGACAGATAGGACGGATAGGACAGATATGACAGATATTACAGATAGTAAAGATAAGACAGATAGAACAGATAGGACAGATAGGACAGATAGGACAGATTTGACAGATTTGACAGATAGGACAGATAGGACAGATAGGACAGATAGAACAGATAGGACAGATAGGACAGATAGGACAGATAGAACAGATAGGACAGATAGGAAGGATAGGACAGATAGAAAAAATAGGACAGATATGGCGGATACGACAGATAGGACGGATAAGACAGATAGGACGGATAGGACAGATATGACAGATATGACAGATAGTACAGATAGGACGGATAGGACAGATATGACAGATATGACAGATAGGACAGATAGGACAGATAGGACAGGTAGGACAGATAGGACAGATAGAACAGATATGACAGATAGGACAGATAGGACAGATAGGACAGATAGGACAGATAGGACAGATAGGACAGATAGGACAGGTAGGACAGATAGGACAGATAGGACGGATAGAACAGATAGGACAGATAGGACAGATAGGACAGATAGGACAGATAGAAAAAATAGGACAGATAGGGCGGATAAGACAGATAGGATGGATAGGGCAGATAGAACAAATAGGACAGAAAGGAAGGATAGGACAGATAGAAAAATAGGATAGATAGGACAGATATGAAAGATGGAACATTCAAAACAGATAGGACAGATATGGGACAGAGAGATAGGATAGCTAAGCCAGAAAGGAAAATAGGACAAATAGGATAGGACAGATAGGAGATATAGGACAAATACGATAGAAAGGACAGATAGGACATACAAACAGAAATAGGACAGATAGATAGGACACATAAAATATTTAGGACATACAGGACAGATAGGACA